CTTTAATAACTTTATAAGAATAATAAATACAATAGATATATTGAAAAATTTTAATATATGTGTAGTTTAAAAAGAGATCCTTTAATTGTAAAAATTATATTCTTAACAATTCTTAACCTTAGATTCTAAGTTTTTAATTTGAACAATTGAATTATTACTGTTATTTCTGCTCTTTTACAAGGACAATTTTCTATTCTATTTATATAAAATTACAATTAATAGAAAATCATTATCTTATGCTATTTTATATTAACTAATTTATAATATTAAAATAAATAAAAAAATAAAATATAATTAGTATACTATAATAAAGAAGGATTATTATTATAATAAAAAAAATTTAGTGTGATTTTATTAGTGTAAATCAGATTTTAGGCCTTTAAGCAACAAAAAATTTCTTTTTTTTCAAAAAATCTTCTTTTTAGGCAATTCATGTAATACTAATGACTAGTCATTATTATATACTTTATTATTATATTTATCTTACACTAATACTAATACTAACACCAAAACTAAAAGGTAAAAGATAAGGTAAAAGATAAAGTAAAGAATAAGGTATAGAAGGAATTCTACCTTAAGGAATAAAGGTTATTTATATATTTTTTTTTAAAAAATAAATATTCAGATCGATCAATCTATTATTGTAGTATAGTTAGATATATAATTAAATTATTTTTATTTTTTTTCTAATATTATGTATTATTTATTTCTATTGTTAATAATTCATTTAATTTATAATAAATCAATTTATAATTATTAATTAATAATTTTATTTATTTTTTTTAGTTTATATTTTATAGGTTAGATCAGGAGATTCATCACCTTGCATTATTATAATAGTATAATAATGTAGGTAACTTTTTTATTATTTACTTACTTTTTTGATTATTAATTTTTGATTATTAATTAAAATCTAATGGCTTTTTTTCGATTTTAGTTAGAATTGATTTCACCCTTTCTAGATGTAATATTTTTTAGCTCATCATAATGATACAGTCAGATGTATAACAAAATTTTTTTTTATTATTATTTCTATTGTTTATTTTTTTACTAAAAATTCTACTAGGTGATGTTTCAAGTATCAAAACATTAAGTCTCTAGTATATTTAAAATTGTAATTATTATTATTAATAATCAAAAAAAAAAAAATTAAATAGGAAAATAAAAAATATATATAAAAATAATAAAAAAATAAAAAAAATATAGAAAATAAAAAAAAAATAACAGGGAAGAGAGACGAATAAAAAATATAAAAATAAATAAAAATAAAAATAAAAAACTAAAAAATAATGAAAAAGAAGGAAGAAAAGAATAAAAATATAAAAAAATAAAATAAAAATAAAACTAATAATCACTATTTTTTAATTTTATAGGTTAGAACTGATTCTACTCTTTTAGATAAATGTGAGCATAGTATTTCAAATAGACCCTTTGACTCATTATAGCAATACAGTCAAATGTATAATAAAAATTTCTTTTTATTATTATTTTTATCATTTATTACTAATAATTCTACTTAGTTTCAAGAATAATAAGTCTCTAGTATATTAAAATTATGATTAATAATCATAAAATTAAAATTAAAAAAAAGTAAAAAAAATGAAATTAAAAATGAATGTAAGAAAGGAAACGAATAAAAATAATATAAAAAAATAATAAATAATAAATAAAAAGAAGACAAAAAATTAAAAATAATAAAAAATTAAGAGAGGTAAAATGAATAAAAAAAATATAAAAAATTAAAATAAAAAAGATTACGAGAGAATAAAAAATATAAAATTAAAAATAACATTAAAAAATTAAAAAAAAATGAGAAGGATAAAAAAAATAATAAAAAAAAGTTAAAAATTAAAAATTAAAAACAAAATATAAAAAGAAATTAAAAAGATTAAAATAAAAAAAATAAAAATAAAAAAAGAAATTATAAAGATTAGAAGGGAGGATAAATATAATAAAAAAAATAAAATTAAAAATAAAAAATAAAATAAAAGATCGTAAAGAAATAATAAATTAGTACTCTAAAATAATAGAGTCGATATGAATTATTTGAACTAACTCAAATTTTTCTTGAGTTAAAACTATATTATATTATTTATAATTTTATTATAATTAATAAATTGTTTATAATTAAATTATTTGTTTTTATATTTTTAATTACATTTTATATAATTTATTTAAATCAAATATTTAATATTATAGAAAAAAAATAAATTTAATAAATAAATAAAATAATTTAAATGTAATTTAATTTCTAATTTAACTAATAAATATGTAATACTATAAAAATATTTAATATTTTATATATATAAGTTATATTTTAAATATTTGATATTTATATAATAAATAATAATATTATTGTTGATAAATTATATTTATTAATTATTTTTTTTTATATAAATATAACTTTAAAAATATTATAATAGGTATGTTATTTATTTTCATAATTTTTAATTTATTTATATTATTTTTAAATTTTATTTAAAAATATTAAATTTTTTTTTATATTAATTTTATATTAATTAAATTTAATATTTAAATTATTTTAAAATTCGCAAAAATAATAATAGTAATATATAATATAATTTAGCTAAATATTTTCAAAATGAGTGAAAAATTAAAAAAAGTTTAGAAATACATTTTATTAGTATCAAAAATTAGTTGATCAAAATAATAGCAATGTATAATATAGTTTAATTAATATAGATGGAAAATTAAAAAAAAATTTAAAAAAAAAATTTTATTAGTATTAAAAACAGCTGATTAAAATAAATAGTGATATACAATATAGTTTAATTAATATTATCTAAATAGATGAAAAACTAAAAATAATCAAAACAAGCATTTTATTGGTATTATAAGTCAGCAAAAAATAGTAATAAAAATTTATAATATAGTTTAATTAAATGTATTATCAAAATGTTGGAATATTAAAAAAATTTAAAAAGAGTATTTTATTGATATTAAAATCAGCAGAAAATGGTAATATTGATGCATTTTATTCATTAAAAATTTTAGCAGAAAATAATTATACAATTGAATAAAATAGTTTAGCTAAATATTATAAAATGAATGGAGAGTTAAAATAAGTTTAGAAAATGCATTTTATTTAATATTAAATAATATTTAATCAAAATTATTATGCATAATATAATTTAGTTAAATATTATCTTAATAGATGCAAAAATGAAATAAATTTAAAAAAAGCATATTATTAGTATCAAAAGTTAGCAGAAAATAGTAATAAAAAGGCATTTTATTAGTTAAAATTATCAGTAAAATGTAATAATAATATTGCAAAATATTATTTAGTTAAATGTTATTAAAATGGATAAAGAATTAAAAATAATTTAAAAAAGCATTTTATTGGTATTTAAAATCAGCTGAGATGTATAATTATACATTAACTTATTATAAGTAAGTTATCTTTAATATTTTAAGCTATATAATTTAATCCTTATTATAATAAAAAAATTTTGTTTAAACATTTTTATTAATGATATAAACTGTAAATAATTTTACATACTAACTGATAATTTCTTTTTTTTTGCTAATTTTTATTATAAATAAAAAAGATATAAAAGTGTTTAATAATAATAGTATAAAAAGTAAGTTATTAAGTATTAATTCTTTAACTAATATTATTAATCTGAATGTAACTAATCTAATTTTTTTTTAAGTCTTAATCTTTAACTAATATTATTAATCTGAATATAACTAATCTAATTTTCTATTTAATAATTGATATATCACTGAAGATTATTTATTTTTTATATACTAATTCATTAACTTTATATATATTAACTTTAACTAAATTAAAATACCTTTACAATTATTATAACTCTATTCTAATTTAATTTTTTTTATGTTAATTTAGTAAGTGATAGATATTTTTATTATATTTAATTATAAATTCATATAAATTTAAAATTAAATTTATATTTAAATAATTTTTAGTGTATATAGAAAGCAAGTTAGGTAAACTATTAATTAAAATTATATTATTTTATTTTAATTAAAATATTATAATTATATTCTAATTTTATTAAAAATCAATAATACATTAGCTCATAAGTTATATTATTAATTTTTCAATTTTTTAAATTTATTTAAATCAATTAATTATTTAAAGTTTAAAAATTTATTTGTATTTTATTAATTTAAATTTATTAAATATTTATATTTAAATAATAAATAAGTTCTATTTTAATTATTTTAAATTATTTTAAATAGAATCTTAAACTTTTTCGAGTATATCCTAATTCATATGACTGAGCTAAAAGTGGGCATGACTGCACTCAAAAAGATCGTCGGACTGTACTCCGTAAGGATTCTGATCATCGGACCAAAAATTATTTAAGTCTGACAATTAGTTTTAACGTCACACAAGCTTTATTGTTATCTCACTCAATAATATTTGCGATTTGTTGAAAATTAAACTAGTAAATTTAAACAACTTGTAGTAAATTCTAAATGTATATATCATTACAATTAAAAAAATAAAGCTTTCTTGCAGCAAATTATTAATATTAGGATTAAAATTGGATCTTTGTTAATAAACAATACTGATACATATGGCTGTATGATGCAGTGATATGGTCAAAAATCAGAATATTTATAAAAATGCATGAATCAAAGCGAGCAATTCCATCCAAATCACAGTTTTTAAAAAAAATTATTTCAATATAAAATTTACCCATCTTTATTATGATCATGTGACGCCCATTTGTCTTTTATGTTTAAAACGATAGAATTTTTGCGGAGATTTATTGGGTACACATTATATAGGTCATATAAATTCCGATTAATCAACATTACAAGACTCAGCATGGTTGCCGTGATGCCGGCCATTTACGCTTCTGTGCCACCCATAAAATAAATCACGTGTATATAAATCACGTGCTCGAGGATTTTAATCATATATCGGATGGCTTTTTTCAAGTTTCGTTTTATTATTTACCTCTTCAAGAATATTTCAAACAAAATTTTTAAGCTCAGTAAGAATGCAGAATCAATTCCAATTTCCAAGGTTACCAAAGAACCGTCTGGAAGAAGATAGGTGGGTGAGCAACACTTAAGTTACTTTATGAGGTACCAAGCGTTAACTCGTATGGATTATAAGTTTGCCTTTTAAGATCGGTTCAAACATATCAGTAGAAATTTATAGAAAATTCTCTGAATCCGAGTCATCTTATAAATTTGAGTATCAAAATGGTAATGTATTTATAGTCGATTTGTGCTCAAGCCCACGCGGACAAGCTGTTGCAGCCCTGCAATATTTCTTTGGTCTTCCCAATAAAGGTTAATAAAGATTTTTGGCGCAATAGGTAAGAATATCCAACTTGCTTGATCTTTAGTTTTTTATGGATTTACTAAATTATCACATCTCTTCATAGACCATCCGTCTCCAAATGGAGGTATTATATTACCAGACGTTGCAGTACGTCCAAGTGAAATTTACGTTCAAAAACCTTCAATTCCTGGACCCCCAACAGATTATGACAAAATTTGTTTTGGTGTATATGATCTTTTCTGTTTTATATTGCAATTTTCTGATAGTTATATGGTTCATGTAGGGTAATGCTCACGCAAGAATTATTTGTGAGATTGCGATATGTCAAAGTTTCCGTGATGAACAAGTGTCATCTCTGGTTGACAGAACAATATGTTAGATCTGTATTAGGAATTAAAATTTATAAAAAGCAAGTAACACGAAATACACAAGGACATTTTGATCGGGCAATGACGGTATAACTATTATTTGTTTTATTAATTTGTAGTTTCTTTTATTGGATTTTAAAATATTTTTTGATTATTAGGCAATATTACGGAGACAGGGAGCGAAATCTCAAGAAGTAAAGTTAAAATATATATTTCTATTTCTCTGTTATGACTAAAGCATGTTTTTTCTTAAATTTTAGTGGGAGTTTGGAACTAAGCAAGAAGGTAGCGATAACCCCACTGGGTGTGTTGGTCCAAATCTTCCCGCATTTCTTATCAACATCCCAATATCCGATGTATTTTATGACCCACCAATACGAGCAATTGAATATGTTCCATTGGCTCCGCCTATCAATGATGGTTTTTTTACAATTGACCTATATATAGTAAAACAAGAGATTTTAAGAAGTTGTCCGAGATAAAGAAAGTAATTACGCGTATCAAATTTCTTTTTTTACTTATTTTGAATTTTAACAGGCTTGTCTAAATAGCTAAATTACTACAATTTGCAATTAATTACCAATAATCTTGTTTTATATAATTTTATTAATAATTATTAAAAAAAATCAATAAAATGATATAATTAATGACGAATTTATTTCTAATCGAAATCTAATTAATTAGTGGTATTAACAAATAAAAGATTATTAATAAGGTTCAATTTGTTCCCAAAATGTACAGCTGTAAAATCTCAAGGGGGATGTTAAAACACTGTCATGTTCAGTCCGGCTCAAGAACTTTCGAATTCAAACTAACTCTCAAGGATCGTTGGTGATAGGATTATGAATCAAGGAAGATGATGACGGTATCGTTCTCAAAAGGACGATTAAAGGTTCGTGATGACAGAATCACCAATTCAAATTGTCATTCGATCGACTGTCGATAATGTTTTACAGATAATCCTTTAAAAAATTATTCAAGCCTAATTGAGCTAATATGATTAATGAATCTCCATTAATAGTCGTACTAAAAATAAGCTTTCATAGGTTTTTGCTTAAGGTGTCAAATTTCACAACTCCTATTTCAACGTTTAACTTTTTCTGTTAGTGAGTGAGTGTACCTAATAAGGAAATGATCAGAGAAATTATTTGCAATATGAAGAAATTAGCACAGATATTTGGACTAGATGAGCAAATGCAGAAGTATATAGTGCACTATCTGGACAAATTAGGGCACTAAAAAAATCTAGATGATTTTTACTTTTGGGATAAAAGGCTTGAGAAAATAGTTATAAATTTGATGTTTGGATAAAAGAGGGTGGGTCCCAAGGGAAAGCTCAGGTAGCTGAATGCTATCAATCTAAAAAGAGAAAGGCTATCCAATACGTCTGATCAATGCTAGTCCAAAGCAATGATCACTAGTCCCAGGAAGACACAGAGCATTAATCAACAACCTTAGAGCAATAATCGAATTTTTTTTTGAAGATTTAGCATATAATATGCACTATTCATGACACATTCAAACATTTTTAATTTACCAGAACTATATTAAATTTCTTGGCAATACAATAAATAAAATAAATCACTTTATCCTGTTCTATTTGTTAACTGATTGTGATACAGATGCTGTGCTCGTATTCTATGTAGACGCATCGAGTTAAAGGAAATGGAGTAGAAGACCGATCTCGACTGGAAAGATTTATAAAATTAGTAACGAGTGGATGAAAAACAATTTATGGCTTAATTCACTTTCAAATAAAAAATCAAAGACATTGTGAACACATTCCCAAATATAATTAATTCATTTAGATTTCAAAAAAAATACAGATTTTACTAATAAATCACTAAACTAATAGGCGAATCATACCCAAATTTGAAGTATCAATCTATCTGCTTTTGTGCAATAATCTACTGGCTCGACCAAAAAATGATAAAGGTCTATGTGCAATCGCAAATTCATGCCATAAATTAGTATGTCTATATATTGATTTATAATGTTATTTGTTCTTATTCAAGCATATAGTATTTAACTATTAGATTTAACACTTCCGAATACTTATTAAAATTTTTTTCTTCTCGCAAGTAAAATAGTAATGTGTCATGTGATCCATTGACATTATTTATTATATCTTACATAATTTCAGAATTTATGGAACAAAAAGTTAAATTATGGAGATATATAACTTTAATATTAATGTAATTTTTTAATGTATAAAAACGGAATAAAATTTATTAACTATATTGTTTTACATGTGAAATAAAAATAAAAATAAATTAATTAAAATATTAATAGAGTATTAGCAGGTCCTTTCGGCAATTGGATATGATGCAGGTTTCGAATTCGATTCGGAGTCAGGGTATCGGCAATCGGATCTTTCGGCAATTGGATATGATTCAGGATTATTCGGATCCTTCGGATTACTTTCTGATCTTTCGGCTATTGGATATGATTCAGGATTATTCGGATCTTTCGGATTACTTTCTGATCTTTCGGCAATTGGGTATGATTCAGGATTATTCGGATCTTTCGGATTACTTTCTGATCTTTCGGCAATTGGGTATGATTCAGGATTATTCGGATCTTTCGGATTACTTTCTGATCTTTCGGCAATTGGGTATGATTCAGGATTATTCGGATCTTTCGGATTACTTTCTGATCTTTCGGCAATTGGGTATGATTCAGGATTATTCGG